GGGGGGGGGGTCCCCCGCGGCTGCCGCTGGCAACTTTCTATTGTTGACCCGAGCCAGAACATTTTCCTCTCACCTCGTTTGCCCCCTGCCCCGCGCTACTCCTTTCCCCTGAGCCGAGTCAACCACTTGCCCGGTTATCCATTACCTCTCATCCCCCTTGCCCCTCTCTCTCTGTCTGCCTCGCGGCGATGGCGGACCCTTCAGAAAAGGCTTTACGCCGCTCTCCCGCTCCATCTTCCATTTCGCCGCTGATTCTCCTCCCCGTCATCAATACATTTACAGCGGAGTGCCTTGGTTGTTCCTCTGCTGCTCTCTCGTATCGCCCATCCCCCGCCCCCTCTCTCTCTCTCTCTCTCTCGCTCTCTCTCGCTCTCACTTTACCGCTCTCTCAGCACTCATGCCGTATTCCGCGCTTTAAGCCCTTCTCTCCGCGCCCGTCTCGCCCATGCCGCCGCATTTTCGTCATTTTATTTATCGTACATTCCTTAACCTCATCGCGCCCGCTGCTGCCGCTCCACTTCCAATTCCGTCTCTCTCTTCCTCTCGCTCTCTCTCCCTTTCTCTCCCGCCCACGCCAGCCTCCCCCCCCCACCTTTCCCCGCCTCTCCCCTCGTAGACCGCAGCCGCAGCCAGAATGGCCGTACATTATTCACCGTCTGATCGGCAGCAGGTGCGCGAGTCGTCACCGCAGCTGTCCATCGGGGCGCGCGCGGAAACAGGCTGCCCCCCCCCTCTCTTCCCCAACCTCCATCAACCACCGGGCTGTGTTCGCGTCTTACTCTCTCGTCGGGAAACCAGTCATATAAGGAATGCCGTTGCCGTTACCTCGAATGTGGCTTGACTTTCTTTCAACAATTATTTTGCTAGAACTACTTTATTTGCTGTCTTTAAAAATACAAAAAATGTTGAAAACAATCTCTACAAAACACAGTGAAAAATATGTTTTTAATTTACAACATGTTTTGTATTTTCGATTTCCAAAATATGTTGTAAATTTACTCAAACCCATTCTTGCTCGTCAATGAATTCTAAGTCGAATTCCAAATGACAAAGTGTAACTTCACAAACACACACCATGAAAAATTCTGCTGTGCCCCCTCCTACGTTTTTCTCGCCGTGAAACAGGTTTCTTATATCGCATAGTGCCTTCACCCGTAAAATGTTACACCTTGTCGCCCTTTGCCCTGTCGATAATTAGTAATGTTTTCGATATGACGCGCGTGTTTGCTTGCGAAAGGAGGGGTAGGGAGGTGTTGCAAAGGGGAGAGAGGAGGGGAGGGGGTTAAAACCGGATCGCCGAGCTTTGATGAGGCGGGGAAGGGGGATTTGGCTGCGGGCCGAAGTAAGGGGCGGAGAGAGCGTATCGAAAAGCTCTAAAGAAACAAAACGGGGCGCGGAGGGGATGTGGGGGAGCGGGGCCTGCGAGGGCCGAGCGGTCCCACCCGTTACATATTCCGCGATAGCGTCTACGCGTAAATTTCAAATCCCTTGGAGTATGTGAGACATCGCACCGTCTTCGAGACGACGACGACGACAACAACACAATCGAAAACAAATAACAAAAATAACAAACCGTACAACAAACACCACCACCACCACCACCACCAAAAGCAGCATGAGGGGGAATGGGGCCAAGGCCTGCGAGTCGGGCGGGTGGGCTCTAGCGAGAGCTTCACCGACGGACGGCTCCTGCTTCGGTTCTCGCGAGGGCTCCAGCCCGGGAGGAGGGCCGCACGGCCGCACGCGTGCCTGCCGGGTTGCCTACCCCGGAGCCCGCGGGCGCGCGGCCGGGACCGGTGGCGGCAGCAGCTCGCCCCCTCCCCCCATCCCCGGCGCGGTCCGGGCGGGCGCGGGCTTTAATTTGAGTTTCAGTTCGTCCGCGGAGGGTTTGTCGTCTCGGAGAAGAAGAGGAAGGGATAAGAGCTTAGCAGACACGGACGGATTTTCTGCTGCCGGCTATCACTGTTGACCCACTCTAAGAAACGCTCAAACGTCGTAGTTTTGGAAACTACATTAGCGTCTCACGATACTGCACGTTATTTAATTTTATGATTGAGCTATAGCGGTTTTGTGGTCGAATAGTTTGTCGACCGAACGTATTCCTGAGTGTGTCTGTAGGAAAATGTGATTCTGACGCAAGATCAGGCAAAATGAAGAAAAAATGGCACTGTTGTGTTTTGATCGGAAGATTTGTTGTCGAAGAAGAACAAATTCTTGTTTTTCGAAAAGTTGACAAATTGAACTCGAGTCACAATTCACTTGGTTCGCGAAACACATTTTCAAGTCACTTCCTTATTGACAGCGACAGCAGTCAGCCTCGTTTTGTTTTTCTCTCACGGTTGGGCGCGTGGCTCCTCTTAAAGCTGTTTGCTTCAACTGGTGTCGACCACGAGGCAGCGCAGTGTTTCTTTTTTCTTTCAGGGTGCATTTTTTTCTTCCATCCTTCTCACGCGTATGTGTGTGAGATATGCGTTTATAAATAGACCACTTCCGCGTTGTCGCGCCAGCGGAAGCCAGGAGGCAGTGACAGCGGCTCGTGGCGCGGCTCGGGGGTCGGCCGCGCGGGGGTAACTTCCGAAAGGAGGACTTATCAATCAAAAGGGCCCCCGCACAGAAAGATACGGGGCGGGGCGCGGGGAATCCCGAGGCTGGGCTTCGGGGGATGAGGCGGTGGGGCGGGGCGGGGCCGCGCCAACCCCAGGGCGCAGGGGATCTTCCAATCCACGTCCAAGTTATTTATGGCCCCCTGTTTATCAGTACTTATACACACTTGACACCTCTCACCCCCTCATGTGTCTTCGTTGCGCTGCGGAGGAGAGGCCTGACGGGTCTCTCTCCCTCT